GCGCCTTCCCACGGTCGTCACTAATAGCTGAAACAAATAACACCAAACACTGTAAGCACAAAGCTTAGTGAGTTCCCCAAAATACCACATATAACACATATTAGCCACTCGAGGCTATAACTCTGTGGGTCCGTGCACCCAAACTCTGTGAACCCTCAGGTTCTAACTTTTGTAAACATGCACAGCATAAATCAAAAAGAATAATGTAGCACAACACATAACATATAAATGTAGCATAGAAGCACTGTATCACATAACTCTATTTACCTACTCAAGGTAAAGTATAGTGATAAGACTCACCTCGTGTATCTCGGTAATTCGTAAATCCCTAAAAATCACTAGTGCTTGATCTCCCGAGCTATAGTCCTCCTATAACACAATACATCTCTGATTAACACTTTCCCAACTAAGGTTGACTATCCCTTAACAAGTCAACATAGGTCAACACTGGTCAATGGTCAACGGTCAGCTTTGACCGGACTCGGCGAGTGCACTATAGCGATTCGGCGAGTCTATACGCATACACTGATTTCCCAGGGATCCTAACTTGACACGACGAGTATTCTCCTAACTCGACGAGTTCCACCTGGCATGAGTTGTGGGGCCTCCACGAATCAACTCGCCGAGTCTCAAGAACAACTCGGCGAGTCCCAGCTTGACTCAGTCCACCTGTCAACCCACTCAGACTCTCCCTGACTCACTGAGTCAATCCCTCACCTCAGCAAGACCACTCGCTGAGTGGTGCTGGGCAATCTTCATGCTACTCGTCGAGTCTGTTCTTCGGACTCGGCGAGTCCATGCCACGCAACAACTCAAACTCACTCCTGAGGTCAGATCTGTTCCACTAACTCATAGATCCAGTCCTTCCAAGCTTATTTATCATGCAAAGTCGCTATCTTGATGTACATACAACATCTATATGACCATATATGATGATTTAGCCCCAAATACCACAACTCAAGGTCATAACCTCCATTGCTCTTCATAAGGCTTGATGAGTGAGGCTCTCTAGACCTCTATGGATCTAGATCCAAAGCCTCATCACTAGAAAGGGACTATTTGGGCATCAAATCAACCCAACAAAGGCCACAAGAAACCCTAAATCCAAATATACTTCATAAAACAGAAGATGGGCTAAATTAATACCTCAAGTGCGATGATCTAAGCTTCAAATCCACAGTATAGCAACTTCCTTTGCTTCCTCTTGGTTAGGACCTCCTTCTTCTTGCTAAACAACACCACAAAGGTCAAGAATGGCTTCCTTTCTCTCTCAAAATGCTCAAGCACTCTAGGGTTTCTCTCTATGGATTGGTGAGCACAAATGACAGCCATAAGGCCCTTTAAATACGTCTCAAACCCTGGGAATTAGGGGTTCATTACACAGCGTGGACTCGCCGAGTCCACTCTTGGACTCGCCGAGTCCAGACACGAACCCGCGTCCAAAATTGCGATCCTACTCGGCGAGTTTGAGCTCCAACTCGCCGAGTCCACTCACAATTCTCAAAAAATACACCAATAATAAATACCTGGAAATTCCGTGCTATTATAGAAACTCACGCACTATCGGAACCTCCCTCACAGACCTCAGTCTCTCCGACTCAACCCTTGCATCCATAACATATCTTATGAATCCCTTACATCCCTGCTGAAGGCTCTGCCTCACCCTGGCAGCTGAGCAAAATGCTAAACCGGAACGTGTACCCTCGCCGTACACCGTAAGGACTCCCCCACTAGGGTCTCGCATGGTCACCAGTTGTCGCACGCAGTCGATGATCGCTCCAAATCTGCTCAACCAGTCCATGCCCACGATGACACAGACATCCCCCATCGCAATAGGGACCAAATCTTTCGGAAACTCAACCCCAAAAATCTCGAGTACACAACCACGTATCACCTCGGTGGCATACACCGCTCTCTCATCCGCTATGGAAAATCTCAGAGGTCAACTCATCGCCTCTCTACTAGTACTGATGTTTCGGCTAAAGGCCAACGATACAAAAGATCGACTCGCACCCGAGTCAAATAATACTAGAGCAGGTACAGAATTCACAAGGAAGGTAGCTACGCATAACATAATATAAGCATAATCATCATAGAATGTAAAAGAATACATGAAAGAGTACATACCGGCGACGACATCGGGCGCTGCATGGACCTCCTCCGCAGTCAACTGGAAGGCTCTACCACGTGCCTTCGGCGCTTCAACCTTCGCAGGCTGAACTTTTGCAGCTCTCATCGCAACAGGGGCTGATCCCGGAAATGCTCCCTACACTGACCCCCGCAATTGTGGAAACTCTGCCTTCCGGTGTCCAGTCTGGTTGCAATGAAAGCAGACCGAAAAACCCGTAGGGAAATCCTTGGCCATGTGCCCCTCCGTGCCACACTTGTAGCAAGACCATGCTCTGCAAATCCCCTCGTGGCTCTTGCCGCACTTGCCACAAGTGCAGCCCTTCTGGTTCCCAGATCTCGAATCAGCGGACTTGACCCACTTGGCTGCTGGCTGAGACTGAGCCGGCCGCCGATCCTTTCCCTTAGACTCAGCCTCCTCCCTGTCTTGGGTCTCCAACTCTATCTCCCTCTTCCAGGCATTTGCCTGAAGCTCGGAAAATGTCTGGTACGTTGAGTTCACCACGAACTCACGTATATCCCTCCTTAGAATGCTCAAATATCGGCTCATGCGTGCCTTCTCGGAGGACACGTGCTCTGGGCAGAACATCGCCCGCTCATGAAACATCCTCGTAATAACTGTAACAGACTCAGTACCCTGCTTGAGGGTCAGAAACTCCTGGGCCAAACGCTCCCTCTCTACATGGGGAACGTACTCATCTCGAAACATAGCGGTGAACCTCTCCCAGGTTACTGCAGCAAGCTTAGCAGGCGTATAGTGCGCAATCACAAACTTCCACCAGTCCTTTGCTCCCAAGAGAAACTGGTTCAGCACGAACCGGACTCTCAAATGCTCTGGAGATGAACAAGTAAAGAAACACCCCTCTATGTCAGAAATCCATCTCATCGCCGCGATCGGGTCCTGGGTCCCGTCAAACTCCGTTGGTTTCGTGTTGCTGAACTCTCGGAATAGCAACGCATCACCACCGTGCGGCCTAGTCACAGCTATAGCTGCAATGGCCGCAACAACCGCAGCCTCAGAAAGAGCAGCGTATCTCTCATCAAACCTCTCCATTAGAGTGGTCTTGATAGACCCGAACATCTCTGGTATCTCTGCCCTGATGGCCGCAGCCACCTCCTCATGGATGATCCTACGGATCTCATCATCACTCGAACTGCCGATCACTGGTGTGTGGCGCTTCCCAACCATGGTCTCCTTCTGAAATACAACATAAGAATATTAGAGACCCTTTCGAGTATAAATACACTCGATAACTCCACCCTACTCGTTCCTTGGTGCCCAAAGAATTCTTACTTAGGCTGCGTACTAACCCGGTATCTTCAGTAGTACGGGCCCAATACTACCGTCCATACAGCGTTAGCATTCATCCCAAGTCCTCCTCCTTGAGCCTCAAATACCAAGTACTCTACTCTTTCTATCATGTGCTACTCACTAACAAAACTCTCATAAGTGCCTCGCTGCTATCTAAATCACTCTTAAGCATCACTAGCAGCAAAACCCCTAGACTAAGGCATCATATATCAGGCCACTCTAGTCCTAACAAGAATACCTTGTCTACTCTAGTATGCATATCGTAACTCATCATACCGCATACATAACATATCTGATAATCACTTATTAGGAGGGTATTTTGGGAAATCACCGTTCGGGCACTGGCTGATTGTATACACGGCTCTGCTCTGTTTATCTCAAAAACTCTTTTTACTCTTTTTCAAAAATATTATATAGGGTTAGGTTATTTTGTTTCTAGTAACTATTGTGTGCCAGAATGCACAGATATGTACCATCGGATGGAATATAATCAAAGGTCATGATCTGAGGGTCTATGATAGTAGAATAGGATAGCATGTACCATATAATCAGACAAATTTGAGCATAAGGGCATTTTCGTCAATTAACCTATATTAAAAAAGGAAATTTTCAGATTTTTAGGGATAATTAATTCCTTTGTTTTTAAAAATCTGAATATTTAAAATTATTTTAAAATTATAATCCGATTTTATTATGTCAGAATGATAGAATTTTAACCATAAACCAATAAATATGTTTTTCGATTTTATTTTGTCAGAATGACAGAATGTCAACCATAAACTAGTAAATATATTCTGAAAGAATATACAAAATCGATTCTTGAACTAATAATATACCAAATAATTACATCGTATGATTGTGATTCATTGAATAATAACAAAACATTCTGAAAGAATAACAAGTATAATTCTTAAAAAAATAACAACATTTTTAAACAATGAGTGTGATCATTCTTTAATTCATTCTTCAAGCCTTTCCTATCAGGTTTTCAAGCCTTTCCCTGCCTTTTTTGGTTGTCTAGGTCTAGGACTTAAACAATGAGTGTGATCATTCTTTAATTCATTCTTCAAGCCTTTACTATCAGGTTTTCAAGCCATTCTTCAAGCCTTTCCCTGCCTTTTTTGGTTGTCTAGGTCTGATCAATTTGCAGGATTATATGTGAAGAATATTCCTCTTCTTCATTCTGAAAGTTCTTGATTCTGAAAGAATAGTGGCCTTTTTCAAACTAAAGCCCTTTTTATTCTAAAATAATATTGCCCTCATTCTGAAAGAATTTTCAGGTTAACATTCATTTGGTAAAGCAAACAAGTTATATTTCTGTAGGTGAAAATAAAAAATTATAAAGTTTGAAACCATTTAAAGCTAATGTTTGCAAACCTTTAAGTATTACTTAATTAACTAAAATATTAAAAAAAAAAAAAAGAGAGAAAAAAAAAAGATAGCATGGAAGGGATTTGCTGCCATATCAGCCAAACTAATGATGATATTCACATGCAAACAAACAATAAATCATCACAAATCAAGGAATGTGAATGGAATGGAATGGAAATATGAGATGGAGTCAGTCATTCCCTTGAGAAGGTGCAGTAACATAATAAGCAAGACCACCAACTGGAATAGATTGCTCAAAGTATTCAAATTCCTTCCATTTTCCCAGCATATTAACCAAGAAATTCCCATTGTACTTTCTGTGCAACAACTGAAAATGAGCAACAACAACAATATAAGTAATTATTCAATTCAACAATACAAGAAACATTCAAAAGACCTGATATCAGAAAAAAAATTGATTCATTTGGATATAAATCAGAACACTTTCATCCATAAGAAAAAAAAATAAACAGGTGTATATAACATACCTGTAACCATGAATGACCAGGATAAAATGATGAGGGCGAATAAGACCTTCAGTATTACATAAAATATGATTAATTTGTCTACACATTGTTCATCCATGGAATCTATTTCAGACACCCTATTCATGTTATCGCTACTTTGGAGTAGAATCAATCAAAAGGGAAGATCCTAACAAGTTAAGTCGATGGTGGTATAGAGCTCGACCCCTAAATTTAAAACCTTAGGAAACCTAAAACAAAAGAAACTGTTATAACGGCGTATTGTATCGATTGAGGAACAATTGATTTGAGATTATGATCGATTTTGCTACAAACCAAAAAACAAACAGAAACTATTACCTGGACCATATAGTCACCGGTTATTGGGTTGTACACGAAAATTTCTTAAGCTGCCAACATTGCTTAAAATACATGCTTACCTGGTGTTGATGGGAATATACCAAACTTCAATCGGTAGTTTACGGTGGCAAATTCGAAGTTTCGACCTGTGATTGCCTTAATTTAGGGTTCGACGAAGGAGCGCCAATGTTTTACAATGACAAAAACAAGAACGATGATGGCGAAATCAAGCAGTCGACGACGTGTGTTTGTTTGTACCGATGGTGAGGAATGGAGTTTCAGACCTAGCCCCTTCTCATCTTCATCGTCATCGAGACTGAAAAAAAAAAAGTGATGGATTACCAAAGAATATTGATTCACTGGTTACGTGTGTGTTTTTTTGTGTGTGTGAAGACCATTGATAAATATACGGTGTTTGTTACCTTAAATTTAGGGTATATATTAATTGAATTATGATTTTACCATAATTAAATATACTAAGTTTACCATTATACCCTTTTTTAATTTATTTAATAATTTATTATTTCCTAAATTCTTATTGGTGCATACATGCACACAATAGTTGTTATAAACATTTGAACCTAGCTCTCTCTCTCTCTCTCTCTCTCTCTCTCTCTCTCTCTATATATATATATATATATATATATATATATATATATATTATATATATATATATATATATATATATATATATATAGGTTCCGTTGAGATTAAAAATAAAATAGAGATCTCGAGATTCAACCTCAGCTACGTATTTCACATATGCCGCTCTAACCCTTCAGCGTACCGGCGCGGCAGGTCTGGTGTAATCATAAATGATTACACAGTGCCACCTGTTCCTTTCTCCTCCGCCACCATCCCAGCACAGTAACCGCCACCGCCACCACCACTACCACCACCTCTGACACCAGTCGACCCCACCATTGTCACCTCCATTACTTATACCACCGCCACCTCTGTTACCACCACCTCTTCTGCGACTAACTGTAATAATCATTTATGATTACTCAATCTATGAATATATATATATATATATATATATATATATATATATATATATATATATATATTATATATATATATATATATATATACTCATTTATGATTATGCATATACGTATAAAACATGTATGATCCTGTATGATTATACCTCTCTGCAATATAATCATTTATGATTAGGCATACATCGTTACTGCTGGTACGATGGAGCATTAGAGCGGTAAATGCGAAATATGTGGCTGAGGTTTAATCTCAAGATCTCTACTTTTTTTTTTATTCTCAAGTGAACCGTCACCTATATATATATATATATATATATATATATATATATATATATATATATATATATATATATATATATATATATATATATATATATATATATATATATATATATATATATAACAAAAGAAAAAAAAATTAGAGAGACAATGATGACCATCTATTTTGCTTTCTAGTTTTTATCTTTGTATAGCACCAAAAGAGTAACGTAATGGCAATTGAAAAACATGGTTTATGAGCAATTTGGCTTCGGTTTTTTTTAAACAACCCTTGAAAATAATACATCTTTGAAGTTTGAACTAAAAAGTTTAAATCCTTAGATGTAATGTAAACATGAATATTATTTGATCGTATAACCAATATTTTTGTCAAGAAATATACGATTTCAAATATAAAATGGGTGTTTAAGAATGTGAAATAATGTTGGCATAATTTTGATGGAAAACCCATAGCCACAAAAAAGGAGAAGAAGGAAACAAAAGCAAATTATAACAAACGAACAAAGGAATCCTTCAATATCTCCATTTTCAAATGGCTCCTTTCGTTCTTTCCAATCCTACCCCATATATACATGTTTTCTAAAAAGAGAACTAAGTTTCTATTATGTTAATTATTGTACTCAAGTAACTCTAACATACTACAATTTTTCTTTAAATATTAACTAATTATACTATATATTAAAGTTGTCTTCCTTAGCTACAGTGAACATACTGAATTTTTGGCAAAATTGGTCATTTGGTTATGGGTAGGGTTGCAAATTTGTGTCCTGCTCATATTTTGTGATTTTCTATATTATCGGTGGGTATGTTTTCTTCTGTGCTGGACACATGTTTTTTCTATATTTCCTTCACCGTCTTGTAAGCCAATCACATTTGGATAAGTGTTCTTCACCATTTTTGTTAGCCACCTTCTTTTCCTCTCTGTTTTCCACAGCGTGTAGACACTTATCTACATCCTTCCCACACTCTCTCGAAAACCATCCATCTCTCTCTAAACTCTTCGGCACATCATACTTTGAGTTCTAGAAATACAGCGGATCGATTCCACCTACCGCCTACTTCTCCATCGCATTCTTCCCGACCCCCTCAATCGCACCCTCCGTTATCTCTAAAACCCTCAATATATACAAATGGAACTTACATATCACTTTTGTATCTCCATCCTTTCTTGGATTTTTTTGATCACTGTTCGGATAATCAGAGAAATATTTGAAGGTGTACACATTAGGGGAGATCGAGAGGAAAGAAGGAAGAAGCAACAACTTACACCGACGCTCCATCATTCCACCGATTCCCCCCTCTGCTTGCTTTAATTCACCAAATTCTTCCCGACCCCCACAATCGCACCCTCCATTATCTCTAAAACCCTCATTCTATACAAATGGAACTTACATATCGCTTTTGTATCTCCGTCCTTTCTTGGATTTTTTTGGATCACTGTTCGGATAATCAGAGAAATATTTGAAGGTGTAGACATTAGGGGAGATCGAGAGGGAAGAAGGAAGAAGAAACAACTTACACTGGCGCTCTATCATTCCACTGATTCCCACCTCTGCTTGCTTTAATTCACCAAAAAAACGAGGACGAGGAACAACGATCGTCGTTGCTGAAGTCAGCTTCTTCTAATCTACATCCTTCTGCCGGTACTCCGATGTCATCTGACATGGCGACTCAAATTCAAAGACCCCTATAGCGCCGACAACCACTGCTGTTCAGAATTCATGTCGATGGTATTTATTCAAGGTGCATCATTTTCTTTCTCCCCTATCTCATTTAACAAACACTGCTAGTTCCAAAAAAGCTCACTTCCAATTTTGATTTCTAAAAATCAAGGGTCATCATTTTCTTACTATTCAAGGTCTTATAACTGTTTATAGATGTTTTAGATTGAACCCACTCACAATTTGATTGTGTGGTTGTCGATGGCACTCAACTTCCTGATTCCTTCTCGATTTTATCAGGTATCTATCGTTGTTTTATTTCGGTGTCATCGCCTTCACCATGCCATTTGTAAGTTTTATTTTTATTACGGTTTGGTTCATACGCACTGTGTGATTAGGTTTTCTAGAGGTTTTGGTATACAATCGCTTCCCAACCAATTCCATGGCAATACCCGTATCGGTTTTTCTGAGAGTTATTAAAATTACCGGATTCAATTGATTTTGGCTGATACTTATTAAAATTATCGGCTTCAATTGATATGTCGTTGTTTCTTTGCCCTGCTGTTTCCAATTTGGCATCATCAGTTTCAGATGTCGTCTACCTGCACTTCTTTTGTTTCCAGCAATTTGGGGAGGTTTGATAACTTTAAGTCAACTGGTAAGCTTACAAATAGCTGAACTACTAGAGTTTCTCCAAATATTCCTGATAAGTTTTTATTCCTGAAAGTGATTGAAATTTATGGTTAATCAAGTAATAACATTATTCAGTTGAACTATTAGCAACGTTTGTTTTTTATATTTTATAGTCGATGAAATGTATGAGTTAGTTATGTTTGTTATTCTTTCTATTTATTTTAGAAAATGTTTTGTAAAATTGTTTTTTGCCATTGGTTTTGAATGATTAATAATATAGTAATGAATTGGAATTACAGATTTCATTCCATAGTGGAACTGGAATTGGAATTCAAGATTCCAAATGGCCTGAAGGAAGGAAAATGGAAAGCCACACTCAGCTTCCACAACCTATCCTCAAAGGTAAATTTTGAGGTTATTGATTTATAAGGTCAATAATTTCAAATGTAGCCATCAAAATATATGAATTCGACTCTTATTGACAGTTGATTGCTAATTCCCTTTATGTTGGGATTCAAGTGGTATGCTTAATTTTTCAGGTGTGTGATTCGAGATGAGTTGATATTTGTTGACAACATCAATAGTGTCAAGGAAGGAAGATAGAAAGCCACACTCAGTTTCTACAAACCTGTTACAATAGAAGGAATAGCAGCAACCATGCTTCCTGGTTTCTCTCTGTACATTTCATGCTCTCTATTAATTGGAAGATTATGTTACGTTTGAGTGGCGTCTATGTTAATCATGGAGATCAAATACTCAAAGGAACCAGATAATCCTAGCGAATGTAACTACTTTCTCCTACAATAGTAAGTATATATATATATATTAATTTTATATTACTAGATCAAGAACATTATTTTTTTTTACTTTTTAAATAAATTTTGGATGTAATATTTATTGATTAAACTGAGACATGACTACTTAGATAGTACCTAGATAGTACAGAGCAAGACTATTATACTTCACTTCATAGTGAACATCAATCACAAATTTTACTTACAATCAGAGTAAATTCCACAATTGGTCCCTGTGTTTTCTTTAAACTTTTCAATTTTAGTCCATTGTTGGATTAGTCTTAATTTTTTTTCCTTAAGTATGCATTTTATTGTTGTTATGGTCCTTATGATTTACTCAAACTTGCAAGTTTAGTTAAAAATTTGGACTACACTTGAGTTTTGAGTAAGGGGATCAAATGTGTAATTTACTCCTATATTATTGTTATTTTTGTAGTTTATATATTGGAATTAGCCCATCTACACTTAAAAGACTTCTTTTTTATTTGATTATGGAACCCTAATAATTATATTGGTATTTGATGTCTTGAAAATGGATTTTCCATATATTTACTATTGAAGGTGATAGTTACAGAAATGGTCCCTGTGTTTCATTAAATTTTACAGAATTACTCCCTCTATACTATGAAATTTATTGAATTGGTCCATATGTAATCAAGATATTTTTTATTTGAAAGTAAAGCATTGTCTATAGTGAAATTTTACTTTTTGTTTATTGATCAAATGAAATTACAACTTTTTCCATAAAGAATTTAGTTGGAAATGTGGAAACCTAGCTATAGTAGATTATAGCAGATCAATGATTGCTTTGGTTGTTGTTCCAATTCATCGCTAATTACTGTTGTTGACGAGCCATCAAAGGGCCTTAAAGTATAACAACCTTTTCGAAGAAAAAGAGTAATTAATATATAATTTAAATGTCAATTATTAAATCAAATGTTTTTTATCGAACTAATGTCCCAATAATTTTTCTTTCTAATGATGAAGCTAGACTTATGAAGGTTTTGAAGGTGGAGCTTCTCCCAGATGGATCTGGGCATGTGTTTAATCTCGGTAATCTTTTTTTTTTTTTTTTTCAGTTCCTAATCGACTATTTTCTTGATTATAGATTTAAACCAATTTTTTTTATAAATTTCTTTTTCTGATGAAGTACCTGAACTTGTGACCTTGTGACCAAAATAAAGTACAAAACTCTATTGTCATTATGTATTTTTTTTAGTAAAGGGCATTTTGGTCTGTTCTAGAAAATAATAGGTATTTGACAGTCCGGGACCGAGAAGAATTATGCTTCTGGCTTTGAAATGTTGCAGCCACTTTATTCGTCATAGCATGTCTAGCAATCAACCCTGTATAGAAGGTAATACTAAAGAATGAGGTTCATGAAATGCATTTTTATGCAGTCCAATTTTTTAAGGGTATATTGGTCATTTTTTTATATGTTTTCTCATTCTCTTTCATTTATAGGTTCCATTGGGTTTGAAGCTACAAGGGAGACCTGATAAAGGTGAACCATGGGAATCAGAGCAATACCCACGAGAGGAAGCAGTTAGATTAGT